TAAAGACGTGTAATGTATTTTATCGCGGTCACATGAACATCAGTTCCGCGCGAGACCGATGGCCGTTTTCTTATAGAAAAACTCCGTTGGGAATTCTTTCGGAATTTTTTTTTTATTATTAACGGCACGATGAGCTGGACCACTAATAAATCACCGTAACATAATGCCCTCGGCGTTTGACCCGCTAAGCATCGATTTTTTTTATTTCTTTTTCCCAAACAAAACACTTATTATTGTCTGCGAAACACTCGAGACTAATTATTATTCCGACCCTAATAATTTCCCTTACCGAGCGCTCGTCGAGTTCCGGGTCGTTGAGATATTTACCCCGGTCACATTTTGACACTATACCTATATCATAATAATATTCATTAGGCAGACTACAAGTGTTTCTTTACTCTCGTCTCGTTTACACAGCTATACCTATGTAATTGGCAAACGGAACGCGATAAAAAACACAATATTAATTTGTTAATTTATAGCGACACATCTTAGTAATGTTATCACGGTAAAAAAACGCGAAATATTATTAGAAAATTATGGAAATATGCTCGTTCGCTGTTTGAACCCGCTACGAGACTTGATATTAAACGAACTATATGATATTTACTATTTAATTTTTCACAATAAAGTCACTAAAACCGTCCTATGTAAATACAGGATGTTTGCGGGGTGCCCATAAAAACTTTTACGGATGTCCGTAAAAAAATTAACGATTTCAGTGATGTTTTATAACGATTTAAAAACGTCATTGCACATGTTATATATATATTCGTTGTACAAATCGTGATTGTCTGTTTGTTTGTTTTTTTTTTTTTTGTTTTTCATTTTTCAGAGAGCATGAAGTCTGACAAAAAAAACAATCGATGGGTCTTGGATCATGCCACAGTGGCCTTTACACACAGTGTACGGCAAAGAGTTTCTGACGTTAGACACGAACAACACTTCTATCGGTGTTGGCCCAAGATTAGAGCAATGCGCTTTTTGGAAAATTTTCGTTCCTGATCTCACGGCCATTTCAAGTAGGGTTCGATGTCGCGCGACACATTCGTTTCGTAGATAGCGGGGTAAAAAACTACTGTAATATGTGTTTTTGTTTTTTTTTTTTTGTTTTTCATTTTTCAGAGAGCATGAAGTCTGACAAAAACTGTACTACTGTAAGCGGAGGAGCGAAAACCGCGATGATCGAGTTATCGTTTTGGACGATCGCGATGACAGCGGCCGCGGTGTTAATGATGCTATGAATAATTTCATTTTGATTTGTCAAAAAAAAAAAAATTTAAAAAAGAAGAAAAAACCGTAGATAACAAAAAAAAAAAAAAAAAAAAAAAACAAATATTTGTAATAATTTCAAGCTGTCGGCAAAACAAAAGATAATACTTCGAGGACAATTTATTCGGTCTATAGGCTATATATATATATATATATACTCGTCGTTATATTATACCGTCGGGCTTCCAGCAGAAACGCGCGCACAAATGAATTTCTTTTTTTTTTCCTTTCTAAAATATATACATATATAATATATTATGTATATATATATATATATATATATATTATTAACAATATATAGGCCTGCTAAACGGCAAGATCGCGCTAGTTTTTATTTATAGCCAATCAGGGCCAATCTTCGCGACGCTACGACGTTGGCAATTTTCTCACGCACCGTACTTACAGGCTTAAACTTTTTTTTTTTTTTTTTTTTTTTTTACCATTGTATATAACAATTATTATTATTATTATTATTATACTCTTATTATATTATTATAAATAATATATTACGTTTTAAACGAATCTATATATGTGTATAGTATAATATTCAAATTATTATTATATTTATATATGTATTACATATCATCGTCATCGTGTACCTTATTGATAATACATTACAATATTACTGTGTTGTATCGTTGTAGACGTAGCCGACTACACAATAACAATAATAGTAATAATAATAATAATAATAATGATAATAACGAAAATATATATATATATATATCGGTTTGACACTATTATATTATTATATTATATAGTACTATAGCAGGCCAATAATATTGTTGTAATATTAATTTAATAATATTATTGTACCTGTACTTATAATGTCCGGAACTATTGCTTTTGTCGAGCGGTTAAAAAATGTGTGTCAAGTAGGGGCACACAATACGGTGTAGCGTAAGGCGTGATGTACGTATTTCGGCCGTCGACTGCGCACGCGTAATTAACACCGTTGGAAATGTCGACAACGGAATTAAAACTCGGCCGGCGGTGATTTTCGGGTCGCCGCGCGGTTCTTTCGGGTAACGGAAAATCAAACGTCCGTAGAAGAAACGATAAACATTTGTCCCCATCTAACGGTGTCCGACGCGGTTTCGTATAAAATATCGAGCATTATTTTCAATTAAGTTTAGACACGAGCCCAACGTACGGAGTTAACGAAGCGATGTTGGAATGTTTGAGGTCATTTTCTACGATTCGTTTTTGCTTGTCCGCGCGTACGGGAGAACCACCGGCCCGATCACCGATTTTTTCCACCGGATTTCCGTACCGCGTAACCGGCATGGATTAAAAATATACAGAATACGGAACGACGACTCGGTAATCGCCCCGGTATCATTGAGTAGATAGCGAAGACGAATTAGGTATTATTGTTTTCCGTGGTCGTATCAACTTCAAATTAGGCAACTAGCGCTGTCGTGCGACACGATATCGGTCAGATATTCGACCGTGCGTATATTCAAACACCTGTAATTAAATTATACCGTCGACGGACAAATGATGATCTGTTATTTTGTTCGTGCATAAGAAATTATTTTATTATTTAACAGTTTAGGTAAATTAAACGCCAATGCGATTTGTCAACGTGACGAAATACCAAATCTTGTGACACCAAGTCGGAGAACAATATTAGGGATATAACTTTTGGACAGATATTTATAAACAATATGTATACACATTGTTGTATTTCGTAAACTAGTCGAACTTGATGAAATATCTATTAAGACAATTCGTGATGTTAAGATACATTTAGTAAAACTCGCAAAAGCACACTTTACCCGAAAAATAATCGTTTCACATATTATGTTGTGCACATTTTATTAATGTGTGGTACATTGATACGGACCACCGTCACTAAATTACGGTCAGCGCTAGGAGTCTAATTTGATCATGATGAAGACACTGTGTTACTGATACGATATCGTTCCGCATTATGCACATCTGTTAATTCGCGATAACCAGTAAGTAATTGATAACAAAAACAAAAAACAAATCTGTCACCAACGACGCCCGCGACACCCGCGTATCGCAAAATCGCCATCGTACTTTTGTATATTTTGCCGCGGTTAAAATAATAATAATAATAATAATAATATAATAGTGACGTTATTGTACTGTTGTAATATATTTTTATATTTTCATTCGGCCACTCGGATACATAATATTATTATTACGTTATAATAATATTTATATACAATATTATATAGTTTTACACGACTTTCGCTTCCGGAAATTAATGCAATCATTATGACGTGATCGGAGAACAATAATAAAGATAACAAAAACGTACCTATATTTTTTTAATCATATTATCTAATATAGGTATCCACGTATGTAAATACAGCGATATTTTCAAATTTTCCACACGCGTCCGTCTCTCTCGCAGGCCCGGACTCTTCAGCAGCAGTCCATTGCTGCGTAATAATATTAATAAGAATAATAAATGATAAGAATAAGAATATTATGATATTATAGATAAGTTCATAATAATAATATTGTAATATTATAATATTATTATATTATAGTTTTAAGACGCTTTATTGTACGATTTTTCGTATTGTTTTCAATGTATTTCTATATAAATTTTGTTGTTAAGACGTATACATAATAATATTATTATTATATTCTTGTTTTACTACTTTAAGCTTAGTAATATTATACAAATTATAACAATAATAATAATAATAATAATAATAATAATAATAATAATATTTATTGATTATTGAAAAAAAAAAAAACAAAAAAGAAAAACAGTAAAACTGCCATCAATTTAATCGCGTTTCTGAGTATGACCATACTATAGTGTAATATTATAAAAGTAGCCTCAATAATATATATAGGTAGGTATAACGATACTACAAAACGAAATATTAGAGAAAAACATATTATAATAATATATTTTTTATTTTACCCGTCTTTTTTTCCGTAATGATGCGGTAGATGTATGCAAATCCGTAATGCATAGGTATATTGTATTATATTAGTCTCATGGACGAATTTTAATTTTAATTTATCATAAAAAGGTTTACTTTTACATTGATTTTATCTATATTAGTGAAAATATTTAATAATAATAATAATAATAATAAAAAAACCTAAATAATAATATATATTATATATTATATAATAATAATAATAATATATAGATGATGTCTTTTTAGAATTATATACTGAGTATAATCTCTATGACAATATGATAAAAAAATTATAACTATGATACGATATTGTAATAGCAATATACAGAGAATTTGATGCGTTTACTTATACCGTGCGTACTACGATACGTTTAAACTGTAAATTCGACTTTTCTCACGGGCCGGAACGGAAAAAGTAAGTGCACCTACTACCTATCCGCATTTACGAGGACTTCGAACGTGAACTAACCGTTTACAAACCATACGTCTAACGGGCAACATAACGAAAACGTGGTTGTATGCTTCCGACAGCAAGACTCTGTGAAGTTTTATGTAATGTGTGTAGAACGAATCGCCGAACAAATATCCGACGTAAAAAAGCTGTGCTAGGATAATGGGGACGGGTGCAGCTACTGTTATAGATAGTTTCATGTGTATCTGTAAACAACGATAAACCATTACTAACGAAACAACGATTCTGAGCGGAGTTTGATTAATAGTGTCGTTTTGTCAACAATATATATATATATATATATCATGTAATTACGTATGCATTATATATTTTCTTTGATAATATTTGTTTAATATTGTACCTATTTTTCCGTTCTCCCCATTTATATGGAAAACTCCTGAGGAAATTTACCATATAAATGGGGAAAACGGAAAAATAGGTACAATATTAAACATTAACTCCTGAGGAAATTAAATAAAAAATTTAAATCCCTTAAAGTACCTTTTCAGTCAGATTACCTTTTAAAAACATTACTACACTTATAAATCAAAGCAAGGTTTCTGGTGGAAAAGTTGTTAGCAGATAAAAAAAAAAAAACATCATTATAAAACCAATACATTCCTCGATCTGATTCTGAGATCTAAAAGTCCTATATTATGAGAATCTGGAAAAAACTACTGAATGTAATAATTGTTAATGTTTGTACGTGACCTTATTAAGTTGGTTCACCTACTCTTTACTTATCTTTCAACATCCAAAAATATTATGTAATACGGCAGGGACGTACCCAAATGGAGGAAATTTGCGGTCCAGAACCCTTCTGTAAATCCTGTAAATCGCTTTACACACGTAGTCGGACCTAGTTATCCAACAATATGGGTCCTAATTCGACAAATTAAACTTGAAGTTGAAACCGATAGGGCAAATATGGCATTAAGTAGCTCGGCATTAAACAATACAAATTTCAAAAATAATTTTGGCATCAACACAAAAAACATCAGGCTCCAAACATTAAATGAACGTATTAATAACTCCGAGTGAAAAGTTGAAGAATTTTTAACTCCGAGCAAAATATTAATATTAGGATACGGCTAAGGTTATAGTCTAAAGATATATTTTCAAATTTATCGGTTAGTATTTCAGTAATATCATAATTTATATAATATTTTTTAATTTGTATTGTACTTACACTGTGTATTTGGTGTGTAATCAAAAAAAAAAAAAAATACATTTTTACTAGAGTTATTCCATCGGACCAATTAACGTAGGACTTTTTTTTATCAGACTTTTAGGTTGAATACCGTATAAAACAGCTAATTTTAAATTTTATTCGGTCGGTTTTAAATGATTTTTTCAAAATATGTCCAAACAAAAATAAATTTTAAAAAATTTTAAAAAAAAAGTTCGGTTTATATTTAGTAAAACTTCTAATACTTATCTTGGCATCAAAATCAAGTGAATACAATCAACGAGGATATAATTATTTACAATAAGTAACATACAATAAACAAGTTAAAATTTCAATGTTCAAATTATGTTACTCGAACTGATATTAATTACGACATGAAATAAACTTATTAATCAATTTATTGATTAATTAACGTATTAATCAATATTGATAATACAATAGAAGCATAGTAGCTACAGAGAAATTATTTCAGAAAAAAACTTTAATTTACTAATGTAAGTTTGATAGCGGGCTACCTACTGGAAATATTATCCCCCGGGTCGTCACAGAAAACTATAGTCCGACTATATCTCTAAAACCGATTTCAAGGGTCTTTTAGTTTGTATACCTAACGCGTGAACACGTTTTTGGTACAGTGTCTATTAGAACGACCGAGACGGCAAATTCTACTGTGCACAGGTATATGACTGTGGCCTGTTAATGGTTTTTAATAATTCAAAAGAAAAAAAACCTTCCTCCGAAAAACCTACCTATACACAATACTTACGTGAATTGGATATTCGGTACGATCCGAATTTATTCGCGGTGCCCTAACACGAAACTACGATGTCGTCCTTTCGCAATACATAAGTATAATAGCAGTACATAAGAGCAGAGAGAGAAAAAAAAAGAACCCCGATAATTGAAAAAGTCGTCGTAAATGCGCCCGGAGAGTACAAAACGATTTGTCGAAGTTCGATTTTCCCCGCGGGCGGCCGTACACACGAAATTATTCGGTGTACGTTATCCATGAACTCCATTTACCCGAAAGTGTTTGCAGTTCATTTTCACGAAACCGCGAAAACTGTAAATGCAAATATATAATAAAGGTATAATTATGGTATTTTTTTACTAAAATTTTCCCGACATTAATCATCTAAATTTAGGTACCTATATAGATTTATAATTTTTAACGGTTGAATATCGGTTAACATAGTTCATAGAGTAAGATTACCGGGTTTTAAAATTAACAGAGTGCAATAACGGTTTTACAATGTACAATTATGTTACACTGTTACTTACACTACACTTAACAATTTACAATTAAACAAATTAATTGTTTTTACAATAATAGCAGAAATGAACTAATCGACCGCGAAGGAGTCAGCGAATGTTAGCACGGCAGTTCGTTCAGCCTGAAGTGCTGTGGACCCCTTGCTTTGCAGAGTAAATGACTAAAGAAGCTTACCGATAGGTCTTTGATATAGTTATGGATTTTAAATTCTGAGTGGAGAGAAGAAGTTTATGGTTTTATAAAGATGCTTATTTTTTTTTTTTTTATCTGTGCGCAACTTTTCTTCCAGCAATTTTATTCCGATTTACAATGATAGCAATTTGTCTAAAACGAAATTTTACTGGAAAGGTATTTTAAAAAGGTAATTTTTCGATTTTCTCAAGAGTTTTCCCAGCAAATGTGAAAAAACATGAAAAACATAAGAAAATAGGGAAAATCGGTACAACGTTAAACAAATAATATAATGCATAACATATATATTGTTGACAATGCATCACTATCAACTGAACTCCCCTCAGAATCGTTTTTTCGTTAGCAATGGTTTATCGTTGCTTAAAGATATACATTAAATTACCTAGAACAGCGGTTGCACCCGTATCCATTATCCTAGAACAGCTTTTTAGTATTTTGAAGTCCGCGTGCACTACGTCATTTCGAACAAACCATGGAGCATTCGAAATCATACATAGAACTTTTGATTGTAGGATTTAAATTTTATTTATGTGAGTAGTAGCACATTGACCCCAGACCGGGACAGCATATAGTGGTAAAGGACGAATTACTTGTTTATATAACAATAATGAACAGTTCCAGCTCAATGAAGTTTACCGATTTATTAGTGGATAAAGTATTTTTAAACGTTGATATCAAACGCTGTAATTTGACAGAAATGTGAGGGTTCCAGGTAAGTTTTTTTATCTTATATTACTCCAAGACATTTAATATTATTAGGCCAAGCCAAATTTTGTATTGCAATATTAATATACGTATGTTTACGTGTTTACGAAAATAATTTTAAAACAAAATTTTAAAAAACAACATATATTAAATTCACATAAAATTCTCAGAGAAAATTATCGATGCGAGTTCATAAGTGAATCACTCTGTACGCGCGCGCGGCCGGGACGAGATCGAATTGCTCAATCTCTTTGTGAATATTATTATTGTCGATGGCCGTAAAACATCTTATGCCGGTCGTTAAAATTTAAAAGGTCGCGTATACAAAGGCGGGTATTGCGTATTATATTAGGTAGGTACCTATGTATACAGTTTCGTAAACTGTAGCAGTTTTTTAAATATTGAATTTTGGAACGGGTACCTATAGTCGCGTCCGTCCCCGCGTTTGAATATCAAACGGCAAAATGTTCGCGCGGGTTCGTAAAACGCGCTTAATAATTTATGGCGCGGTAAAAAAAAAATGAAAAAAACAAATTCAATCGATAACACAAATTCGGTCGTTCGACGAGGCGCATAAACCCTTAGATACGAGCACACTGTACGTAACTAGTCCGTTCATTTCAGTTCGGTCGCGCATTCTAGTAAATTATACGTACAGGTGACTACATCCAAATCCCATGTCAAAAGAAAAAAAAAACGCAAAATATAAGTAATAAAAAAATTAAGTAAAACCAAAATTATTAAAAGAAAAATACAAGTATCTCCAAATCGCATGTCACATACCAAATGGGTTTGTTGTTCCCCCAATCAATTATTGGGTTGTTTTCTCACAGTTTTAAAATTGAAAAATTGAAATTCGTCAAACACGATTCCTACAGTTTTGCCTGGTTTTCAAGTCTAAATCGAGTAAAATATACACAGTCATCAAACCCGTTCACACGATTTTCAAATTCAATTTATCGGAAAATCTCTAACAGTCAGGCACGGAACCAGAGCAAATATTTTTAGAGGAGAGGGAGGGGAGTTGGCAACAATTTGTTTACAACATCAATATAATTACAATGTCTATGGTTCTAATTATAGTACAATAATAGTTTAATCAATCACAATCTATTTGTGATTGTCCGGGACCACCTTTGGTGGCACACTGTTATGGTGTCAACAATTAACACGTAATTAAGAAATTACAATATTGGAATCACAGAGTCCACAGATATGTATAATATATTATATTATCATATATATATATATATCTGTGATTGAAATACAGTAATATTAGGATCTACAGAATCATAAAAAAAAAATTTAGAAAAATAACATGTCTGGGAGGCGCCTGAGTCCCTAGCCTCTCTCCCCCCCCCCCCCGAATCCGTCTCTAATAACAGTGCTCCGCTCGGAATCGTATTTTGTTTGTAATTATTTGTTGATGTATTTAGAATTTAAAATACACATATATATATATATATATATTTTATACAGGTGTCCTACAATGTTCGACGGATTTTTCTAGCACTGTGATATTATAATTTTTTCGATTTTTTTTTTTTTTTTTTTTTGCAAATCCGTTCGTCTTCGAGAGGAACATCGATTTGGAGAAAAATTAAATGTTTTATTTCATCCACTGAAGACAAAAACAAATTACTTTTTATTTATTCACTTAGAAAATTTTCAAAGTAGCCATTTCGTAAACAATATTATTCAAAACATTTGAATGTAACACACATTCAAATCCGACGAATAATTTCTTAGTTCTAGCCGATTTAATTAGGCGTGAAAACAATTAATATTCAATAAAAAAAACACGTTATGCGATAAGGAATCAGCACGGTAATTCTTTACCTTCTATTGAATATTAATTGTTTTCGTGTCTATTTTCTAGAAATCAAAACGGCTATAATTAAGAAACTCTATAAAACTATAATTAATAAATCGGTTATGAATTTATCACACTTCAAAATTGTTAGAATAATATTTTTTACAAAATGGCTGTTTTGAAAATTTTCTTAAGTGAATAAATAAATAGTTATTTTTGTTTGTGTGTGTGTTTAGGGGATAAAAACAAAGATTTGATTTTTCAACGAA